TGATGATGAAGGTACCTCACCAAAATTACAATTTTGAGAACAGAAATGCAAGCGAAGAGACACGTCAATGCTATGTGCACGTATACTGTACACAGGTATACTCTAATAGATGATTGATTGATTGATTGATTGATTGATTGATTGATTGATATGTGGGGCTTAACATCCCAAAACCACCATATGATTATGAGAGACGCCATAGTGGAGGGCTCCGGAAATTTTGACCACCTGGGGTTCTTTAACGTGCACGCAAATCTGAGCACACGGGCCTACAACATTCTCGCCTCCATCGCAAATGCAGCCGCCGCAGCCAGGATTCAATCCCGCGACCTGCGGGTTAGCAGCCGAGTATACTTTAGCCACTAGACTACAGCGGCTGGGCACTCTAATGGACGTTATAGCAGGATGTAGAAAGGACGAAGGTGGCGGCATCACGACGATGATATGAGAAGGGTGGCTCTGTGTGCTTATAATGAAAGCGGCTTGGAAATGACGCGGTCATTGATTTGTGGAACGGCAATGACCGCCCCAACATGGTAACTGCGATGGCGCGTCGACGGAAACAACATGACAGCGATGTTTTACCGACTCTTCCGTGGTTGTTATTTTTTAATTAAGCGTTACAATGACTGCGCTGCGTAAACGGTCGTTACGCTAATGACCGGGATCCTTCAGAGCATTAACTATTTCTTCTCGCTAAAACATCCACGGCAGATTTCATGTATCCATTCCTTCCTGTACATGTCTTAATTGTGAAATATCAATGTATCGAAGAAGTGTTCAATCGTTATATCTTTAAGGACGCACGGGCATGTTTATAAATTATTCAGTCGCATAATACCGCATATCTATGAGAACGAACGAGTTCTGAACAAACGAGCATCTGACTAAACGAGCATATGACAAAACATTTATTACGATTGGCCTTTATTCAAAGCTATAAAAAAGTTTACGGTAGTTGTCAAAGTAGATTCACACTAAAGCTTTCTACCTGGCTTCTGTGGGAGGTTCTATGGTTCAAGGCGAAAATATCATGCAGGGCCCAAACAAAGTCACATCGGATGGTATATAACGTGCATCACAGATTTTGTGCTTCGTGGCCAATCTTTCATGCTTAAGAAAAATTGAAGATGACCAAAATTTTCAACTCGGATGTCTGGTAGCGAAATGTGCTCGTCGGCGTTCGTGTTCCCTGGTGTATTCTGTGGTTTAAGATTGTTTCGCCCGCTGCCAGAGCTGATCTTGGAGCATATTTATAGAAACGGACGCTTGGTTAAGACCCGCCCCACTAGACGCTGCAACTATCCCAACTGCTCTCAAGATAACCATGAAGTCTCACAGAGAATTCATTCAATTACTTTTTCATTATTTTTTTACAGTTAATTGATTCTTACCTCAAAGAAAGTTATGCTCAGTTATCATATGTATCCACTGATTGGAGTCGTAACCATCGGTTTTGTAGCTGTTACATTTTACAAGACTTTCTCTTAACGGTCGGAAAATCAAACGTAATGACTAATAGTATCTGAGGCTGCATATCCCAAAAGAACGATGTAATTACGAGGCCCGCCGTCATGGAAGGCGCTAGCAATTTTGACCATCTATTGTTCTTTAACATGCACTGACACACCAGAGTACGCGGGCCTCTGGAATATCAACCCCATCGAAGTGCAACCACCACGGCCGGAATCGAACCCACGACTTTCCGGCCAGTTGACGAGCACAGCAACCGCTACATCGCAAACCGGAAGTGACTCCTTAACCGGAAATGCCGACCAGGTGTATGATACTACCGAGGATTCGGAAAAGCTGTATACAGCTACATATATGTAGTAGCAAAAGGCGGCCCCGCCGCGGTGGTCGAGTTCCTAAGGCACCTGGCTGCTGACCCCAGGTCGCGGGCTTGAATCCCGGCTGCGGCGGCTGCATTTCCGATGGAGGCGGGAATGTTGTAGGCCCGTGTGCTCAGATTTTAATGCTCGGTAAAGAACCCCAGGTTGTCGAAATTTCTGGAGCCCTCCACTACGGCGTCCCTCGTAATGAAATGGTGGTTTTGGGACGTTAAACCCCACATATCAATAAATAGGAAAAGGCGGCTGAGAGTAAGAAAAGGTTGACGCCATTCGTTTAATATCCCGGTGAACAAGTTATGCCGCCGCCTGATGGCGGGAGGCGAAACGTGTGCGCCTGTGACGTTTATTGGATTTATGCATCGGAGTGCTGACGTGACCCAGAGGTGCGGTCGACGGTAATAACCATAAATACGGTAACTGTCCGCCAAAAGCACGGTGGCCTGACCGGGTTGAGCGAGGGCCCGCGATGAGTGCGTGCCTGTCAGCTCTGCATTTGCCTTTCACGTATATCCCGCCGTTATCTTACAAGGGGGTAAACAAAAAAAAAGATAGCGTAAAACAGGTTTGGATGGGTTACTTGAGTTTTTTATTTCTGACTTTTGATAAGATTCCTTCAAGATTTGTTGCTACTGGTTTCTTTTCTTTTCGCCTTCTTTTATCTTTTTCTACTTTTGACTCATTCCCTTCACTGAGGGGAAATTGAAGGCAGGACTACAAGGCTACTATTTTATTTATTTTTATGTATTTATGTACCTTAAGGGCATCTAGGGCATTTCATAAGGGGGGTTTCAAACAGTAATCAGTGACAACAGCATTTTTTTTTAACAAGAAGACCGCAAAACATACAGTCCGTCAACCAAGATAAGCAAGAAATAACACAGCAAGGTTTTCACAAGCGATCATATTGAAAAAGCTGCACGACAAGTTATACAGCAATGCCTAAGATTGTCCATTACATTCAAGGAACGCAAATAATGCAGACTGAAAAGATGATTGCTGTGTATGCGTTACAATGCTGGCAGGCAGAGCGTTCCACTCGGTTATCGCTAAGACAAGGAGTGAGTATTGGTATTTTTTGTGCGAGAAAACGTAGGTTCAATTTTATGATCATGGTCAACGCGTGCGGAAATGTACAAAGCAGGGTGAATGAACGTATGGCGGAACGGCGAATCACTGTGGTATAATTTGTGGAAGAAAGATAAGCGGTAATATTTCCTGCGCATGGCAAAAGGGGGGAGATTTAATTTTTTCGTAATGAATGACACACTTTCATAACAGGAATAACATGACAAAATAAATCGCGCGGCTTTGTTTTGGACAGTTTCGAGCGTATCAGTAAGGGTTGCTGTATGGCGGTGCCATACTGTGGAAGCATATTCTAGGGTTGGCATATTTTAAAATGAGGTAATATATGTATATATTGATTTGATTAATATGTGGGGTTTACCGTCCCAAAACCACCATATGATTATTAGATACGCCATAGTGGAGAGCTCCACAAATTTCGACCACCTGGGGTTCTTTATTAAAACGTGCACCCAAATCTGAGCACACGGGCCTACATTTCCGTCTCCATCGGCAATGCAGCCGCCGCTGCCGAGATTCGAAACCGCGACCTGCGGGTCAGTAGTCGAGTACCTGAGCATATATATATATATATATATACAAGATGAATAATATGGTTGACAACAAGCTCCAAAAGCTCCAAATAAAAAACACAGAACAGAAAACTGAAATAACGAAAATAAACCTAAAATAAAAAAATAACGACGACCTTCAGTTTGCCGCTTCAAAATGTCTTCTTCGGAGCTCGTAAGGCAGATAACCATCACTGAATTGTTGTTGCCAACTTTAGTTTCTTTTTTTTTTTCTCTCCCTTCGTCAGTGGCCCGGCATCGCACTACTTGTAACTTCTATAGAATTAGTATGCAGCGGCGGTATAACGGTTCCCCGAGTGCGCATCTGCCTTATCGACTAGAAATATCATACCGGATTTTCGTTTGCACGACATCCGACACGCAGTGCCAGCTCGCCCTGTCTCCAAGCCCGGTAGGTGGTACCGTACAAATACGGTGTTTCAGACTACAACAGCATTGAATTTTAATGACTCGGGCTTGAGCAGCAGACGCCAGCCAATTACTTTGCTATAGCACGTGAAATAAAAGTTATTAGAGAACGTTTATACAATGGCGGCGAACGTGAGAGCGCTTTTCAATCAGTTGACTTTTCAGATGCCGTATCGGTGATTTCGTGGGCCCTTGCAATTGCACGTTTAAGGCATCAGACAGCATAAGTAAACGCATCAGGCTCACATGTGCGATAGTACACGCAGCAATACGCGCGAACGAATGTCTGGAAGTCACCGGCTTTTAGAACCACGGTGAACACTGAAAAGTGCTACGTACGGTCGTTTTGAGTTCGTTGCCCTAAATCTCGGACTTGAAAATTGTGCATGGTCTTCAGCTATAGCGTATGTTTACGATCGCTTAACACTAACACTTTCATGCATCTAAACCATATGTGCAGTGGTACCATAGCTGGGTTGACATTACGCATCCATCGTTGCGCGTATGGATGCTGATGTAATAGTTAATAAGTTGAATGATGCGTATAAATTGAAGCAAGACGTCTAACAAACTTGACTGCCGCTTCGTTCTTTCAAGGTGTAAGTCTGATTAGCACTGTCATCGCGTTATCTCATATTGGGGCTTCAATGATTTTTCTAAGGCTTTATGAGGGAAAGCACACAGATATATAACATCGGTACTGTAACGGTACTGTGAGAGTACTGAAGGCATATGTATTTAGAAGACAGAAGGCAGAAGAATGATAGAAAGTTGACGTATATCGTTGATAGAGATTCATAATAAAAAACAGTATGAGTACTAACATGGTACAGAACAGAAGAGACGACAAAAAACATGGTCAGTGCTAGCGAAACAGTTCATCAAGATTAGCCATTCCTGCTAGTATGTAAATAAACGCGACAGTTGAAGTTGGTCGGGCGTCATTATTATTGAACATCATGACTCGTTACAACACCCTGACCAGTTACAGCCTGACCCGTTATATACAGTTGAACACCCTGACCCGTTACAGTTGGTGGCAGAAGGTTAAGAAGATGTGCCCAAAATGAACGTATCTCACCTGGCGTTGTCGAAGAGCGCCAGGAGGATGAACGCGATCTTGGCGTGACGAGTCCACTGTGTGCCGTGGGCTCCACCGATTCTTCGGACCATGGCCCTGAGCTACGTAGTTGACGGCGGCATGGCCCAGGCTGGAACAGCCTGAACCTACAGCCGTCCATGGACGCGCGAGACAGGCATGTCACTTCACCGCACCAAGGTGGCCGCCTCTCATCGCCCGTTGTACGCGACGATGACACAGACAGAGACACACGCACGCACGCACTCGCAGCACTGGCTGAGTCAACGAGATGTGGGCAGTGTGCAGTCGCCTTCCGGGCTCTCTCCTCTTATTTTGCTTTCGTGGGCGTAGCGAGGCTGACACTGTAGCCGCTTCGCAAGTCCGGCAAACGGAGCGCTTCTTCCGGTTTCCTTTACTCCGAGACAGCTCGAGCGCAAGGCGCATAAAATCGAGACGCTGTAAAGAAAGCTCAGCGAGATCTCTCTCTGATTACAACGACTGTCGCGTGAACTGAGTCGCGAATCGAGGGAACACTTTCGCGGAGCTGTTTTTCAAATGACCATCGACCAATTCACGCACTAAAAGCAAGAACGTTAATTCCTGTATTGAAACAGCAGCCCGTTTAAGCGTGTCTGTATGCTCGGCAGCACCGGCAACACTGGAGATTGAGATATGCCACGGGCACGCCTAACACGAGACCACCGAAAGCAGCTCACAAAAAAGATCCTCACAGAGAGCTCACCGAGCGGGCTCTTGCACTTCTTGCGCACCTCAGGTTTCGCGAGCAGACCAAACAAACGAAAACATTCAAAGGCGGAGCTCCATGCACATGAGCACTTTCGAATGGTAACACAGTACACGATCTGCACAGGCGGAGCACGTGTTGCTGAGTGGCAAGCGGTACTGGCGTCCCACGCTGTTTAGCTTTGAAGAGCACTGCACATCACCCTTCTCCGTCCAGGGCACTAAAAGAGAGACGAACTAGCAGCGCGCGCGAGATCGTTCCGCTGTCGTTGCGTTGTGCTCGACTCACTCAGGTGGCCGGCTGGTGTAATTCCCCCCACACTCGGTCGGCCTCGCGAAAGCAACGAAGAGGTAAAAACGTAGAAAGCAAAAAAGAAATCCGAGAGTTGTGTGTATGTGTGTGCTCGCGTTTTATCCCTTACCTCGATCGAATGTGTGCGTCCCCCCACTTTATCCTCACCTCCTTTCACTTCTTAGCTCGCTTCGCCTTGCAATCGAGGGTTTCCCTTTCCCGCTAATTCGCGGACCAGTCGTAAACGACGTCGCTAGCGCTCGGGACGTCCCATTGGTCCGTAGTAGACACCCTCTCTCGCCCCCGACGCGCCGCCGAAGCCCTTGGGATGGGGTGGATGGCGCCCACCGGCTTGCGCGAGGAGAAACGGCGGCCGGTTGGCTGGCTTCATTGCATGACTATGTTGTCTTGCAAGGTAGCCGCACTTCTGTCTCCCGCGAGCGACTTGTGCATCGAGTCGCTGCGTAAAGCATGAAAGCAGGAAGCTGAAATAGCTGTTGAAAACCTTTAGGCGAATGCCTCAGATGCCTCACCAAACGAGCAGAGTGACTGGTGGCAACTTAGGTGTATCAAGAAGTGACGAAAAAAGAACACGATGTGATGACCTCATGACGTCACAGATCGCCAAGATATTGTAGAGAAATTGTAACGTCAATACGACACCCTCTAACGTGATATCAATGACACTGTTACTTGGTCAAAAGCAGGCCAATCTCGAAGGCCCTGTTGGGTGCAGAAAGCTAATGAAGAGGACGAGGGGGGATCAACGCAATCAACCTAGAAGAAGAAGAAATGGGAAAACATGGCTTTCGTCTTTGAGTCTTCATAAGTGGATGCATAAATGAGCGTGTGACTTTTAATGTAGCCATGAACTGCGCGGAAGGTCACACAGATTCTTCCAAATGAGACATTACAGGGGGGAGTGAGTGGGCCACGAAAAGACTTAGTGTACCCTCGAACCTCTTTATAAACAACCCGGATATACAGTGAAACCCCGTTAATGCATACTTGCGAAAAACGACAGCATAAGTATGCACTAAACTTACTACGCATTAACCACCATTTTTCTTACGTATGGTTTTAGAAGGCGCGAGAAATAAAAACGAAAGAAGAGTCAACATAAAAACAAACTTATCTCTATAATGAGACACAACGTTTCCTTCAGTTTCAAGGCTAAACCCACTCAATCAGGCGTCGCGCAGTTTAAGCGGTAATCGTGCTTACTGTAAGCACGTTGGTTTCACTTTGTGTACTGCATATCTTTAAAAAAATGCACGCACATTACCAAATCGCCATTCAGCTGCAGTGGCTCAGTATTCACTTACGTCACATTTAATCACGGGCATCGGCAGGGGCGTGGAAAAGTCGCCTTCATGTATGCCATCTGAGCGGTTTTCGTACACTGCGGGCAGGACCTGCTCAGAGTCAACATGTGCGGGGAGTACTGGGTGCTTTAGATCATGAACTAGTACGCCCCGAATATAGAGATGACCAGCAACCAGCCATCCTTTCAGAAGGAAGTCAAGCCATCGCCGTTTATCCTGTAGAACTCATGAGAGCAATAACCCAGCTTTCTCAATTCTGCATGGAAATGCTGCTAAGACGCAATAAAGATGTTCCAATCACTGCTGGAACGGCTGCATCACTGACACGTGTCCTTCATGTTGTGAATGTGCACAATCTCCTCGTTTCTGCATCTCTTTCCCATCCTTGACTCTTCTCTCTCCAGTCCCTGTGTGGGATGGTAAACAGGGTGCTTATCCTGGTAACCTGTCCATGCCCTTACTTTTCTGTCATCAGCTAGTTTCGATAAAGAGTATATTCAACAGTAGGCGTGCGCAGGGGTCCTCTTTAAGGGAGGGGGGGGGGGGGTGTCTTCACAACGACCCCCTTTCATATTAAGTCAATGTAAAGGGCAGACCTTGCCCCCCCTCTTTGTTGACTGGCATATGGGGGCGAGTGGGGGGCGCCTCTGTAGCTCTCACCTCCTGTGCACACACATACACACCTATGTATTCAACCACATTTGCATCGCCTTCCAATGCTATACTTAAAGGCCAACTCCGGCAATTTTTCGACCATGTCAAGGTAACGGTGTTTCTATGTTCTTGAGATACGCTTGTCACGAGCCCAATAGCTGAAATGCTCAGGAAATTTGAAAATAACTTTAATAAGCAAAAAAATGGCAGCATATCCACGGAGTGAATGATGGGGAGTGGGGCGAAGCATTCGTCCGTCCATTCGTTCTTGCTTCCGTCCGTTCCTGCGTACGTCTCTGTAACCGTCCATGCGTCCATCCACCCGTCCGTGCGTGCGTCTGTTCGTGCGTCCGTCCCTGCGTTCGTCCATGCATCCGCGCCTGCGTCCGTTCATGCGTCCATCAATGTATCTGTCTGTGTGTCCGTTCGTCCATCTATTCAGCACTCCAAGTACCACCATCTCGCATCTTTTCATCATATATTCTCCATATAGAAGCACCACCATCCAGTGGACATTTCAAGGACTAAACGGGAGGCGGCACATGCACACTTTCTTACGGCTTGCGCTTCGGGTTTACTTCCCACCTTCAACCACCTCGAGTTCATGGTATATACTAGTTCACTGTATTCATGGCGTCAGTTCCGTTGACATGATAAATATTACGTCACACAGACAGTGTTGCCGCCAATAATTCTGGCAAGCGAGGTGAGCGTTTTGAGGTAATCTTTAAAATTCATTCGCAAACAATCAGCGCATCTCTCAAGCTTGTAATTTGGAGTAAATGACGAAAACGTGCAAAGGACCGTACCCAGCGAATTTCATTGAGATTCATTGACCTCGAAAAATTACCAGAGTTGGCCTTTAACTAACTTCACTAAAGTGTCTCTGCAACTTATACGTCATATATATGTACGTCATATGGCGAAATCTACAAGAGCTTCGCAAACGAACGCCCAGTACAAAGCTCATCTTGCTGTTCCAATTGATCACAAGCCTGCGCAACCCAACCATGACTGCGCAGCAGTCCCATTAGTCCAGCATCATCACACGTGCTTCACCCACACCTCTTGCGCGTTCCCAACGTTGAATAAACATGATGCGAAGCGTACTTATCGAATAGCGTCTCAATTTCACCTTCTTATTATGCCACTGACGATAAGAATCATCCTCCCATGGGCTCGCGCACACTGCCCCGGCCATGCGATGGTCAATTAATGACACGAAAGTCGCCGGCAGCTCTTTCTATGGGTACGTACGTCAGGGCACCAGCGGACTGAGTCGCATGACACTGATCGTGGCTGAATAATTACTCGGCAGAGCACCCGATGAAGACGGTGCGGAACTTTCGACGCGTCTCCTGTGGTTACCGTTGCCGAGCACGAAGCTGCAGGCGTTCTGCTTACGCCCGAGGGGAGCACTCGTGCCTGCGTCACCGTTCACGACCTGAAAACGTTCGTGATGCGTCCAATAAGAAAGGCATGCGAGCAATCTTCGACGCAGAATGCGTACCTACGGTGGCTCTTGGGGAAATAAGGACACTCCAGGCCGGGCCATGTCAAGAGCGGCAATCGAAGGATCAAAGATCGTAGGCGTGCACACACATAGGCACAACCGGCAGCCGACTTTCCGTTTAGCTTGATCGCGAGCTTGGCTTGACTTCGTGTTGGAGCGAAAGACAAATTGCCGAGCGCTGCCAATGGCCCTCTGCAGAGTGTAGCCCCGAAAAAAAAAAAAAGAGGGCCTCCCTGTCACTCTAACAAAGTTGGCCGGAGGGGCGAAGTCTTGAGAACCACGAGGATGTCATGCGAACGCCATCGTTTCGCTACGGTCTCCGCCTCGCCCGTAAACACCGTGCGAACTGCCTCAAGGAGGTTTCGTCATGATCTCAATCTGCTAAGCGTTTTGATTCACGCGTCGTGCTCGGGAAGAATCGCCCGATCAACAAAAAATAATATCAAGATAACTCTCCCTAGAAGAGTTCAGCGTCTCCTCACACCCTTCCCGCTTTCATTTTAATGACGCTATAGTTTTAACAAGGATATCATCTCACGCGCGAGCTCAATTACTGTAACAAGATTATTAACCAATTACGCTGAAGAAGAGGTAACTCATGGCGGGCGGCGGGGCGGCCTTAATAAAGGCGTTTAAAGAAGGATAGAGATGGGCGAGGGAGTGGAATTTTAACTGAACCAAGAAGATGAGACGCTACAACCTAGCCGCTACGAAACGAAGT